TCATATCTCAACTTGTTTTGACATAGTATGTAAGTATATTTGACATAGTATATTTAACATAAAACATACAAGTATATTTTATTTCAATGCTTATTATTCTAATGAGTTGTTTAAGTCTTATGTCACCAATGTAAGGCACACGATTGAAAGTTATACCCTAGAGTACAACTAACAAACCCGTTCTTATTTTCTTATAAGCAATGGGAGAGATATCTAGATACTGTATATTTGACAAATGCAAAAATCTTATACTACATCAGACAAGAAATACACCTTGGGGGATAAATTTTCACAACCAGATTTTATTGAACGCAGGATTATTTTACACTGACTAAATATGGGGTACACTGTTACATACTAGGATTGTTTAGATACAGAGGAATACTTCTCAGCAAACAAATATTAGGAGTGAATAGACTAGAGGATCCACACAAACTGGGACTTAAGGTCGCCACAATACTCTACCCTTCCTTGGTAATTACAAAGGTAGTATGGGTTTTAACAATACAAGGTTCTGACACTTAAACACTTTACAAATGGGGAACAAAGTTGATGCAAGACCACTTGTTACAGAAAGCCGAGTGAATGAATCAAAACAACACTTAACACCACCTACACACAGGATTCCATAAATAACCTTAGTTTTAAAACTGCCTATCTCTAACTTACACAGGGACTGAGCACCACTATAGCATGTATGAGATAAAAATGCACTTATCGTTATTGTAGGAGACCACCACATGTCATACAAGCGACGACCGGACTGTTCACCAACCATGCCCAAAACCAAGTGAACGAGACAGCTAGTACATCTGTGTGCAACCTTCCGATTCCAATAATATTTCATACACATTTGTATCTCCTAGTAGTTCATTGATACGCCTTATAAAGTTCCAGGCTGTTTTTCAACATTTAACACTGTTGTTTCTATATGTCTTCCAGTACTTAATATACTTTTTAAATATGTATTTTCTTTACTGTTTACACTGTTCTGGGGATGACACTTTCCTGCTATGACAATGGTCTGCATCTGTGCAGAACTGACTATTGTACTGGCAGGGATTCCAAATGAAAGAGTTCCAGACTTTTTCAACATTTAACACTGCTGTTTCTATGTCTCTCGCCTGGGTTATATACCTCACAAGGGTCTCTCTTACACTAAGTATAATACCAATTGTGGTCCAATAATAATAATAATAATAATAATAATAATAATAATAATAATAATATTTAATATATAAAAATGACAGAGGATCTGATTAATATGATTTCATGGTAGGTATTTGTTAAGTCACTAATCATACACAGCAGCTGAACCATATCTTAAGATTAATGTAAATGTTTTAATTAAGTAATGCATTTGGTGTACAGTATTACTTAATATTATGAGGTATAAGTTAACTTATGTAATGGAAACATTTTAAGAAACTTAATAAATGATATACAGTTTTCACTTATTGCTAATGAATACATATTATTTTAGAGTTTATTCTATGAGCTCTAGTGGCAAATATTATAATACCTGTACTGAAGCATGTCTACAGAATTTAATACTGTACTAGCAATAACAGCAAAAACTACTGGCTTAATAAAGATGAAGAACTATTAAGTTTTATGCTACTTGGTATGGTAGATATATAAACAACCATGTAATGTCAGTTTGGTACTTCTTTGTATCTTATATTTTAATTGGCTAAGGAAAGTGTAGCATTTTGTTACATTTGGGAAGCCATTGCACAATTTAAAGCCCTTTATTTGCATGGCATTTCTCCTTTGGTTGAGTAGGGCTCTTGGAACATCAAATAGGTTTTTATTTCTCTGTTGGTGTTTCTTGGCTCTGTTGCAGCCAAGAAGAAGCATTTGAGGTCAAGATTGGTATTGCATTTGAGGGTTTTTAAAAGTTATAGTGTGGATTACACCTGAGAATGTGTAGTTCATTTATATTTAGCATACTCTAGGATTTAAATAAACGTGCTGCATTCCGTCTGGGTTCAGAGTTTGCTGCTATTCTAATTCTGATTTTTGTTGAGTAATTATTTGTCTGGGGTAGTTTTCATTGGTAGATTTCCAGGTGTAGATACCATAGGTGGTATCTGCCTGTTCCCTGACACAATGAATTACAGGTGTTATTATTATTATTATAATTTAGGCATTGTATGTGCTTGGTTCTAGTTAATTGGTTGATTTATTTCCAAATAATATGTAATATATCTTTCCAGTGTTAAAGGTGAGTTTTACCTGAATTTACCTGTGGGCCACTGACACTAGTGAGGGCCGGAAGTCGGTGGCTTATCTTAGATTCCCCCCATTTGCCTTGATAATCTTTTCCAGTTGGATTTTAATATTCAACAATCTTGGTAATTACGACTTTGGCTGGCAGGCTGTTCCTTGGGTTTATAACCCTGTGGGTAAAAAAGCAGTAATAAAAAGAAATTATTCATATCAACATCCTCCAAATTGTTCAGTATTTTTAAAGTTTCGATCAGGTCCACCCTGTCATGCTTGGTTTGCAGTGTTGTTAGCACTGTGGGGCTCAACCATTACTGATATGAGAGATGACTTAGCTCTGGAATGATTTTTGTTGCCCGGTGTTGCACTTTCTGCAGAGCAGCTATGTCCTTCTGAAGATGTGGTTTCTGTGCTTGGATACAGTAATCCAAATGGGGCCATACCAGAGATTTATACAATTGAATCACTACCTCCTTTTCCCTATAGTCAAAGGTACACTTCACTATTCCAAAGGTTTGGTTAACTTTTTTGACTACTGTACTGCTCCTACCTGTTGTGCAACTTTTAGTGAGTGGTGGATTAGTTCAGTGTGTTAGTAGTCAACCACATTTGTATTTTTTTTAGTTCAATATTCACTGTTAGTTAGGATAACTGTATTAGTGTTTGAGAAAATAATGGTTGTGATAAGCAAATAATATTAGCTTAATGTTTTGAATGGCATTTGGTAGGTCATTATGTATATGAGAAAGAGGACTGGACCAAATATACTACCCTGTGGAATGCAATATTATTTGGCAGCATTAGTGCTTTTTAGAAGTCTGAAGCCATACTGACAAGAGATAAATATGTTTAGCGAAGTATGAGTAGAGCTGCTTGTACATTAGTTTCTCAAATATTGTAGATAAAGTGAGTAGGCTTGATATTGTCTGTGTTGTTATAGACTGGGACTTATTCTGTCTTTCTTAAGAATACCAGGTTAGGCTCAGCGTTATAGTGATTTATTATAGAATAATGCTATAGCTGGGGCTAGATTACTTGAGGTTTTAAATAAATAAGGGTTGACATTTCAGAGTACAGTAGTTGCCTGCTTTAGTTTTGAGTGGATTATATAAGTAACATCTAAGGAACTTGTTTGGGATAGATATAGTTGCTCTGAACAGTCTGTGAGAATCATTTATGGTGGTTTTTGTTGCTGGAATCTTATTTGCAATTGTTGTTCTAACTGATGAGAAGAAAGTATTAAATTAGTTGCAGTGTCATTGGCTGATAGCATATTTTTCCTATCTTTAGCAAGGTATATTGGTTTTTATTAGTTGTTCTTTGATCCCAATAGCTGAAAAACTGTTTTCAATGTTTTTTAATGTTACTCTTTATTTAATTCGACCAGTATTCATTTGTTTGTTCAGTAACAAAACATTTGCCCAACATGCTATGCGTATCAGTGGCTTTAGGTATTGTATGTACTAGCTCTATCTATAAATCCAACATTGTCTGTAAATCATCTATGTATGTACTTTTCCTGAATAAAAAATTTGAATTTGAATTAAAATTAATAATTAAGTTGTATTCTAAAGTTCTATGTTTAGTAAGTTTTACACAAATACAATAAGTGTTAACCCAGTAAATGTTGTTATAATATGAAGAGCTAAGTAAAAAAATTAAACACTGTCAATAAATGAACTCCTCAATACTGTATTTACTAGAAGGAACTGTTGAATATAACTAAAACTTTAAATATAACTAAGTTACAATAGCTAGTACAGTATAATGCTAGTGCTAGTGACTTTACAAGAATGTAAAATCAACTTAATTTCTATGCTCGTAGAGGCCTCGTAGCCTGGTGGATAGCGCGCAGGACTCGTAATTCTGTGGCGCGGGTTCGATTCCCGCACGAGGCAGAAACAAATGGGCAAAGTTTCTTTCACCCTGAATGCCCCTGTTACCTAGCAGTAAATAGGTACCTGGGTGTTAGTCAGCTGTCACGGGCTGCTTCCTGGGGGTGGAGGCCTGGTCGAGGACCGGGCCGCGGGGACACTAAAGCCCCGAAATCATCTCAAGATAACCTCAAGATATGCTCTCTGTTAACCCCCACTGTACCTTCTTGTATATAAATAAATAAATAAATAAATAATGCAAATATTTTGACAGTTTTTACTTACAAATTCAAAATTGCCTCTAGACAATTGACCATAGTGAATATGCCACCAATATTAAAACACAAATAGGGGGTCTGGTAGCTGAGCGGACATCGCGAAGGACTCGTAATTTTGTGGCCCGGGTTCGATTCCCGGACCAGGCAGAAACAAAAAAGTGGAAGTGGGCAATGTTTCTTTCACTCTGATGCCCTTGTTACCTAGCAGTAAATAGGTACCTGGGAGTTAGACAGCTGTTATGGCGCTGCTTCCTGGGTGTGTGTGTGTGTGTGTGTGTGGGGGGGAAACGTTAATTAGTAGTTAGTAACAGTTGATTGATTGACAGTTGAGAGGCGGGCTGAAAGAGCATAGCTCAACTCCCGCAAGAACAACTAGGTGAATACAAATGTTAACAGCATTTACACCATTGGTTATTAGCCCTATACAGGTATTTACAAATTTAGGTTATCTAATGCAACTAAATATTTACAATTTCAAACATGCCAAATACTGTATTATCCCAATAATGAACACTTACAAATACTGTATAGTACTTACAAACAACACTAAACACAATTAAAACATCAATGGTCATTGAATATCATGATAGAGGAGAGAAAACTGTATCAACTCTTGCAGATACGTGTCGTCCGAGCATTCCAGTCCGGGCTTGAAGGGAGTGATGACGCTGAAAAAGCTTGCCGGGATAGAAAACGAAAGATGGGAGTCCCTCAGGATCGAATCACAGCCTCAGACTTTGACCGCGACTCGATCGACAGGCTCATTGACTCAGAAGAATTCAACATGCCAGAAATTGAAGGGTCACGATAATGGAACTGTCTTGATAAAGGTACCGTATTTAGCAAGTTCTGCTGCCAATGTTTCACCACAGAAATATTTGCAAACCAAAGATGAGGGTGTGCAATACAGTACTTAGAGCATCTACTATTAAAGCCTCCCTGGCACTAACTTGAACAATATTCATAAGATTTTATTTTTTCTTAAGCACATGTTGGATCTTTTAATCTCATTTATAGTGATGCATATTCTATTTTTGAGCATTACTGTATATAGTTTTACCACAAATATAACCTGAGAAATTCATGTTCTAACATACATTGTTTCATCATATTTCATTAATTCTTTTGATGCTTGTTCACATTGCATAACCAGTTAGATTAAACAGCAATATGTCAGTCTAGTAACTGAGTGACTGCTTGTATGCAGCCCTTGGCTATGGGGACCTCAACAGAACAAGAATGGGTCTCTTAATTAATTCCAACAAGATAAGACACTTGAAATCCTTCTTATAGAACAATGAGGGGTCAGCAGCAGTGCAACCTCCTGCAGACAGGGGCTTCCCACCTACCTTGTGGGGCTGCAAGATCTTGAACCACAAAACACTGTCATGCAAAAAAGGCTGCAAGCTGATATGCCACTGCACTAGAAGGCAGCTCAGCCAAAAACTGTGTAAAGGCACAAGCATCTTTCTACTCATCCATAGTTCATAAAAAAGGGGAGGGTAACTACAATAATCGCTAGGAATATTAGTAAGCCTCCACAGAGGACAGTAAGACTCGGTGTTATACCCGGTTGTTCCAGGACAGACCTTATACAGAGGTCTTCAGATAATAAGCTAGAGGCATCTATATTGGGAAAAAGGCTTTTGTAAATAATAGCTTCTGAAATCACGCAGGAACTTATTTTTATAGTCTTAAATTTAAAGGTACAAAATATATTAGGAGTGTGGTTGTACTTTGCAAACACTACTGAAACAGGACTTTACAAATATATTACTAGTCCCCAAGACTTGGACTCGGTTAACAAGGAAGTATACTGTATTCGAAAGCTCCACTTATTCACAATTTATTGGACCACTTGAAGTGTGTTCTTACTGGATTGGCATACACAGTGCTCTCTTCTGTACACTGGGAATTATGCAATGGGGGACTCACAACCTTAACAAACTGTATGGGCCCAGGACAACTAACAAAGTTAAAATGGTCTATACAATGGGATGAAAAAATCACACAAAAATTGCCATCTGTCATTGGGACATGTAAATGACCAATCCTATTCCTACTCTGAGGATAACCTAAGTTATCCACTGGGGGTCTTGAGGCACAGAGCTGATACCAACCCAAGTTTTTACAAATTACACGTATACACTTTGGTGTGGGTATAGGAGTTCTCCACTATACACTCGCTTCAAATACACCCTTTGGAAATCACAATGGCATGATATCATTATGCAAAAATGATTGGAGTAATTCAGGGATTCAAACGAGCATTCTGGGTCACCCCAGCCTTGCGCCTCAATCTACTGGACCATGATATGCTGTAAGTAATTTAACCTGGGATTCTACTGAATCCACTTGTAGTCTTAAGGCACCAAACTGATACCAAGTCAAGATTATACTAATTACCCAGATACATTCTGTTGTGAGTATAGGAGTTCTCCCTTCAGATACACACTAAACACTTTCGCGCTATCCGGACGCATCGGCGCGTCCTGTTTCGTCTAACGCTAACGCATAGTGGACATAAAGTTATGTCCTCTTTTAAAATATTTGTATAAAATTCAATTTTAATCCGATTTCATTGGGGTTTGTTTCAAACGATGCGCCATGAAGTTCTCTTTCTCGCCACTAGGCCGCCCGGCGCGTCAGCCTACCCGGTCACGTGACGGGCCCATTGTTTTCGTGTTACGTGTCGTGAGTCGATCACGCTCCCCTCGCGCGCCAAACTCGAGCATTTTTTTCCCGTTTCCGTGTGGATTATACCCAATTACTTCATCAAAAATGGATCAAGGTCAAGGCCCAAGCACTTTTACGCCCAAGGAAGCCTCCAGGTCATCGAGAGTGGACAAAATAACCCAAATTTTTAAGAAGTGGAGCGGAGTGAAGCTCACACCAACGAAAATTCCAGGCCTTGTGGAGGATTTATCAGAAGCTGAAGGTGATGTAGAGGTATTGGAGGAAGATTTTGGAACCCACAACGATTATAGTGTACCTAGAGCTAGAGGGAATGATACGGCAACGAGTGATGAGGAGACTGAGGCCCTCACCGAGGAAGAGGAGGCACCGTGACCCCCTCCTCCTCCTCCATCTCGGCGCACACGTGGTGCATCTAGGCTACCTAGAAAAGTAGCTACCAGACATGTTACTCGTCGTAGGAACACACGACAAATTGCGCCAAGTGATTCTGAAAGTATAAGTGATGAGGAAAGTGATGAGGATTCATTCGAGCCTCCTGAAAGGCGTACACGTACAGTACGTACTCGGCAGGCTGGGGCTGGTGAGGGCTGGAGTCGTAGCAATACTTCTCCAGTTGTTGATGATTTTACTGGAAATCCTGGACTGAAAATTCCCAAGCCTACTAGTGCACTGGCTTATATTCAATTGTTCATCACGCGTGCCCTCCTTGAGTTCTTTACCGTTGAAACAAATTTGTACGCCTCGCAGTTATTCCGGATGGCCAATGAAAATGTATCAGATATTTGGAACCCAGTGAAGGTGAGTGAAATGGCGCAATTCCTAGGACTGTTCATATTGATGGGCATAATTAGGCTCCCAACTATGAGGATGTATTGGCAAACAGCAAAGCCATGGCATGCTTGTTTCTTCAGCTTGTTCATGACGTCCAGACGATTCCAGCATATAAACCAGTTTTTCCACACATTCAATACCAATGCAGTGCCCGTGAACAATCGTGATAAGTTGATAAAAGTGAGGCCAGTGATGGATTACTTGAAAGAGAGGTTTGCTCAAGTTTACATCCCCAAGAAAGAGTTGTGTTTGGATGAGGGTACAATGCCATGGCGAGGCCGACTATCCTTCAAAGTGTACAATCCAAACAAACCAGACAAGTATGGTGTGAAACTTTATATGCTTGCTGAATCTGTCTCTGGGTACATATATGACTTTGACGTATACTCAGGTATTGGTAAGACGATAGTGGATACAGTAACGGGGTTGATGCAGCCTTTAGTGAACCAGGGTTACCATTTGTACATGGATAATTACTACAACTCGGTTACCCTGACAGAAACATTGAGAGAACTTGGGGTGTACACATGTGGCACAATTAGAATGCTACGTGGCGCCCCAAAGGTATTGCAAGCTCTAGCCAAGGGTAAACTTCCACTGGATACCACCGTATACCGCCGCAAAGATAACACCTTCATTCTCCTGTGGAAAGACAAGCGAGTGGTTTCAATCATTACCAACATCCACAATGCAGACACTCAGCGAGTTCAGCGAAGGAAGCGAATTCGCAACCGAGACGGAACAAGTGGAATACAACAGGTAACAGTGAACAAACCGACTGCAATTTGCGAGTACAATAAGTTCATGAAAGGTGTGGACCACTTCGATCAAATGGTTAAATATTACCATTTTACCAGGAAAACTCACAAGTGGACCAAAAAGATTACCTTTTATTTCCTGCAAATGGCATTGCATAATGCCTATGTTTTGTACAAATACAACACAACTGATGGAAAAAAGCTAACATTGCTACAGTTCCACGAAGTGGCAATCTGGGCCCTATTGAACTGGGACACAGAGGAGTGGCCTAAAACATCATCATCATCATCTCACCACTTGCGGCACGCTCCAGACATAAATGATGACACAGCTCCTGCCAATGCTGACGCCATGCCAACTCCCGGACCATCTGGTGTGAGGCGGCCTTTGTTCACTACACCACCTCAAGATGAAGCAGACAACGAATCTGAACCCGACATGTCTGCCACACTGCCAGTTGACGAAACTGTTTTGTCAGATGAATCTGACTCTCCTGCAAATGTTTCATTTCCAGCGAGAAGACCTGGCCCTATTGTTGATTCAGAAAATCGCATGAACACAAAACTGAAACATGAAATTTACAGACTGCCCAAACGTCTCAAGTGTCATGTATGCGCACGGTCCGGTAAAAGGAAGGACACGAACATAGGATGCAAGACCTGTGGTGTTGCACTCTGTGTTATTCCCTGCTACACCAATTACCACCGGAAAAAGGTGTATTGGGTGGTGAAGAAGTAACCACCCGCAACAGCTTCACTCCACCTACAAACCATCTGTTGAGCAACTTCAGGAATGAAGAACCTGAAGAAGGTGGAGTGAAGAACAAATGCTCAACTTACTGTTGCACAACCAGCCTTCCCTTGGTAAGTACACCTATTTGGTCCAAGTTTGTGTAGTATAATTTAGCTCATAGAACATTCTATTGCGAAAACATTGCCACAAAAATGAATGACATACATACAATAATAATATCAGAACAGTGAAATAAGTATAAACTTTCAAAGCAACGTTTCGCGCATGTGTCGTCCGGTCACCGTTACCGGGTAACAGTGCGCCCACTTCCCACACTCTTGCGGGTGGGCCGGGACCATTATTCTACGATTATATTCATATCACCATGTTGGGAATTTTATTGGGAGTCCATTGATACCAAAATTAAGGCTGTAGGACAATTGTAGAGGTGATAATAATCCCAAGAGTAAAAACATTTTGTTGCTGTTGGGCGCTCACGGCGACTCATCTTCGTAGTTATTTATTTCATGCTGGTATCTCTATAGCTTTCGTGACTTTTTTTACTGATGTTCTTCTAGAGAATTTTATTGAGAACACGTTGGTACCAAAATGAAATACATAGCATGAAAACTAAGGTCAGAAAAGTAAAAAGAGTATACACATTTTTGTTTTTACGCTTAAGCGATAAAAACGCCACGCGCACATACGGTTGGCTGAGTGACCTTCGCCGAGAGCGCGAAAGTGTTAATATTGTAAAAACTTGATTTGGTATTAGCTTGGTGCTTAGTGGATTCAGTAGAATTCCAGGTTAAATTACTTAGAGCATATTGTGGTCAGTGGGTTAATGCACACAATTTCCTAAGTGTGCATTATTATTATTATTATTATTATTATTATTATTATTATTATTATTATTATTGTATTATTATTATTATTATTATTATTATTATTATTATTATTATTATTATTGTATTATTATTATTATTATTATTATTATTACAGTGCAATACTAATCCTAGAGTAGTAACAATGCAAACAGTATGGAAAAGACTTTGAAATATACATTATCTATAATCTATATAATTTGATTCATATACAGTATCATCAATATTTGGCATAATTCATGCCATCATTTTCACATTATTTTTTTCATCACTTATTGAATTTTTTGTCTTTTCTCTTTTGTTATTTTGATAAATTATAAATTTAATACAGGGGGAAATACTGTAGTAGTGTATTAAGAGGTACTGTACTGTATCTGAATGTTTTTGTGATGTATATTGCAGGTACAGGAGATAGACAGCATGGGGCTCAATGTTCCTCAGCTTGAAGTGAATAGTGTGCCTTTCTCCACACCCCTACGACACTCTCGATGAACAGTATGCATCTCTTTACACCCATGGAACATCCAGAATGAACAGTGCTGTCACTTTCCATGCCCATGCAGCAACCCTGATCAACAGAGTGCATCATTTCATGTGTATGTGGCATTTGGTAAATGCTGAAGTGCATTTTTTCTCTCTCACATCAAAATGACACCTATTGGTTGACAGTGCAAAGTTCTTCATTTGAAGTGACACCTACAGTGAGCACTGTACCTGTACAACTTCCCAGATTCATGCAACACCCATAGTTGCATGGTGTGCTGATCTCATCCAAATACTAAAAGTGAAGTATGATCATATGCATCTGAAATTCTGTGATTCAAATTATGTAATTCAAAGATTAGAATCAAATTCAGTACCTGTTAATCTATGATGTGGTGTAGCTGCTTTCTGCCACTATATCTAGTCCATCCAAGTGCATTAAAAAATACATGCATTATTATATTTAAATACAGTATTGTTTAGCCCATTAACATAGCAAAATTTTCTTCTTTTACCATATGTAGATATGCAATAATTAGAATTCAAATAACCTTATTAACAATTATGAAATTCTTGTATTCTGTCATTAGCTGTAGAATATTTCTTGTAGATAATTCTGAACTGCTGAAAGTCTCCCTCACACTCGGATATGATCAACAAAGCCTTATAAAATTATCTTATACTATACTGTATTTCTCTCTGTGTTTAAAAGCTGTCCCAAATTTAAACACTGGTATCAAAATTCTATTCATGTGCCATTTATTTTTTTACAAGCTACGGTACATAAGTTCATACAGTACAGTAATCTAATTTGAATAGGTGTCCAAGCTGACATTGTCATAAAATTATAATTCAAGTGAATATTCAAGCTGGCTAGTAACCAAATCTTATTTCTTGTTAGCCTTATAGTTGCTGAGAAGTACCAATGTGAGAGCAGACTGTATTAACAAATACAAATTTTGCCTGATTGAATACAAAATAAAACAAAAATCCTTATAAGAGAAACAGCATCTGTAAATAAGTCAACTCTCATTGTGGTGTTTCTCTGGAAGTCTGTTATTAAATTTTATGCAGTATAAAAACTAGCGTTGAATATAATGAAACGCCATTTTCTGAGTGAGACCCGGTGGCTCCCCGGAGCTTATCCAGGCTGATATGCTAATGTCAGACTTTGGCATCAGTCATGTGTTTGGAGTTCTCTGTGTATGGAGGCCTAGCTACCAGGTACCATGAGCCAGAACCTGGCCCCATCAGAGAGGCAAGGGGAGCAATGATCTGTAGAAACCCCCTGTGTGGTTGGAAGCATTCTATGTCTGCCATCAACCGGGTCAGGCACCCAGTAAGGTAAGCTTCCCAAAACAAACCCCTATTCTGGTGAAAATTGCTACCACAAGCAATTTGGTAAGCAAGCTACCACAAGCCGAACAAGTGGATAGAACTCCCCTAAAAGAAACGATCAAACACTCATGACTTCACACGTTGCCACACCGCTATCTGCGCAGCTCCCCCCCCTCCCCAGGAGGGAGAAGGGAGAGCTCCAGACCTACCGCGCTGGCTATCCACCATCAGTTCTGAGGCTGGATGTCAAAAAACGTGAAAAACCGCCGATTGGAGGGAGGGAGGGAGGGAGGGATGCTGGGGAGCTTCCGAGGTCTCACCCAGAAAATGCCGTTTCATTATATTCAACGCTGGTTTTCTGGAGGGAGCCCCTTCGGCTCCCCGGAGCTAACTACCCACAGAGGAAATAAGAGGGACGTATCCGGGAGGCAGTCGCCGCACACTCCCCAACTCAAAGTCGAAACAACTGGCTGCAACCACCAACCCAAGGCAACATAGGCCCGAATGGGCCCAGGAACGACCACAAGATATCAAGCTGCCAGGCCCCTGTACAACCGCCAAAAGCCCTGTGCCCGAATATCTGCCAGGACATGCCGCCAAGACGGCAGCAAGAGCAGCAAATCTGCGAACGCCATGGGCATGGGGATAGAACACAGGCTGGCTAGCCTCAATAACACTGAGGATGACCTGGGAGACCCTCACCCGCGAACAGGAAAGAAGGGAACGGGATAAACCCAAAGCGCGTCCTGGACACAGAAGCCATGGCACGCAAAGAACAGCTGAGGGCCGCAACCGGACACAAAACACGATGCACCCCTGGCCCAACCAACCAAGCACCAACAAACCAAGGACCCCTCCAGAAAGCAGCAGTCTCATTTTGTGCCAGAAAAGAGGGAGACGGCTGCAACCGAACAAACCTATTGCCACAACTGAAGGCGTAGAAACCCCTGCACCGGAGGAGAGCAGGAAGCTCATTGACCTGATCCCAAGAGGCAAATGCCAACAGGAAAAGAGCCTTTGAGAAACAAACCCAAACCGAAGGGGCCACAGCCAACCGAGGAGGAGAAGAAAGCGCACACTGTCCAAAGACCAGGACAGCTCAGGCAGCGCAGATGTAACACCAAGATCGAAAGCAAGCTGAAGCGACTCCACCAGCGCCGCACAAAACGAGGCGACAGTATGCGGCAAGGTGACGGCCCCAAGCCTCCTCCAAAAAAGACAAGCCAACAAACGCAGCCACCTAAGAAGGGACAGAAGGAAAAGGAAGGACTGCCAAAACACCCCATACTGCCGCCAAGAAGAAGCACGCAGGTGGGACACCACCAACCGAAGGTGAGAGACTCGAGGCAGAATCTAACCAGCCCCGTCAAGGTTTATTTGAGCCTAAGAAGAGGCAGAGCCGCGGGAAGATCTCGGGTGCGACCACCGAGCAAGCAGAGCCGGAAACCCATGCTGGCAAAGAAGGAGATAGAACATCTGCCGAACAGAAAACTCCCCAACGTGAGCGAGGTCACCAGGAGATCGGAGACTACGGGTCCGATGCAAGACTCCAGAGAAAGGACACCACAAGACCCTTAAAATGCCTACAGGCAGGGCAAGCCAGGAAAACAGGAACCCAAACCTCGCAACAGGAGGGCCAAAAGGCACAAACAAAACACACAACAGTGTGTAGGAGAAAACGAGAAAAAGACCAGAAGAACAGCCCCAGCACCAGTGGCCAGGGACAAGAATGAAGCAGGAAGATGAGGAACGAAGAAGGCATGCATCAAATCGGGAACGAAAGGGACACGACCAACCCACAGAGGTACAGACCACGTCCCAACAAGTCACGCCAACAACACAGAGTCACAGGCCCTGTCCCAACAAACCAAACTGAAGAAGGTGCAAAGTTTGCCATCAGACTAGTACGCAAACCGAGGGGTACGTGCAACAAAGACAGACTACTGAACACAAGTGCACATGCCCCATGCAACACAGGCGGAAAGAGCGCCCAAAGGAGCCAAAGGAATGCAAGAAAGAAACATTCCAGTGGCAGAGTAGTAAACAAATGGAATGCATGAGGAAGGGAAGTGGTGGAGGTTGACCCCACACACAGCTGCAAGGACAGACATGACAGATAGAGCCCAGGAGATGTCAGGGAAACGACAGGGGAGAGGCAGGATGAAAGAGCCAAAGCTCAACCCCAGGAAGCACAACCAGAGGCGGACAACTAGGCGAGGACAGAGAAACCAATATACATGGAAGGGCCAAGCCAGGCACTACAAGACGGGAAAGGAAAGAGGCACCCTAGATAAGACCACGAAAAATGCCACAATAAATCCACAACACGCATCCCCAGGCACAAAACTGCAGCAAAATGTCACCCCCACATCATCGTGACACAGGAACAAGTACCACATGTCACTGTGGTACATGTTACTAATGCACATGTTCATTAGGCAAAGATGTGGTGGAGGCTAACTCCAGACAAGTTACAAATGTAGATATGATAGAGCCCAGCAGGCCAGGGACGCTGCACACCAGGCGATCGATGGCTGAGAGGCGGGAGGAAAGAGCCAGAGCTCAATCCCCGCAAGGACAACCAGGTGAGTACAACTAGGTGAGTACATAACCTGCACGTCAACCATTGTACCTCGTAACATGGATGAGGTGGGGTCCCTAGATCGACTCGAGCATGGGTTGGACATGCATATGAGTGAGACTGGACAGGTAGAAATAGGAGCTGCCACGTATGGGCCAACAGGCCCTCGGCAGTCACCTGTGTGCTGACGATCTTATATATTCGCATCCAAAAACCACGAACCAGCGCCTGGCTGAAAGAGACGCCAGACCGCAGAAACTCACCTGCGGAACGTAGGCACGAATGTGTCACGACCCAACGTAGCCGAGATCCCGGGAGCACTGCCAGGGGAAGAAGGCCAGAGCCGCACACGCAGGAGAGCAGGGTAGAGGTGAAGGAGGCACCCCATACCCATGACACAGGGAAAACCCCGGCGTCCTCCCTATAGCTGCAATCCAGAACACCCCAATAGCTACAGAGCACGGACTGGAGAATTAAGTAGAGCGAGAGGCGAAGCACCCAAGAGAAAAGGATGCAAAACACCAGCACTGGTGCACACCGCTCAAATGAAAACAAACTCCCACGGCGCATGCGCAGAACATGATGTCCGAACCGCACAACCCGGTCGGCGGAAAGGTGCCAACTAGAACTACTTTAGAAGAAAAGTTGCCATACAGTACATGACCCGAGTGAACTGCTAAATAGAAGAAACAGCCCAACTCATGGGACAGGAGCCAAGAGAGGAGTAAGCAGTGACAACATAGCTGGCTTATGAAAGAAGACAATGAACCTAATCGGGAACCCAATTGGGCTACAAGTAGCCCAATCAGGCATCCCGGACTAGGAGTATGTAAAGAAAACGAGCAGTGCCAAGACAAAGCATGGAGAGAAGAGACAGCAACAAAAGAACGAGACAGGACCGAAAACCAAGAATAAGCACAGAAGAGGACCAACAAGCCCTAGAAAGGACCGGAGGGAAGCCACGCCGAAAGACAACAGACGTTCCAAGAATACGGGAAGTAGTGAAAAACCTTCCCAAACCCTCGAGAACACACAGATGCAAGCACAAGTCACGAAAGCACATAAAGGCACAATCACACCCGAGACCAAAAGTCATGCAGAACCCCAAGAAGAGGGGAACGTAACGGAGAAGACCCGGCCCAAGAAAAAAGGGGGAATAACGGAGAAGAGCACCCGCCGACAGGACGGCACCGACTGATTCAAGGGACAAGGAACCAAGCCCGGGGAGGGGCCAACGCCCAACAACTCGTACGGGGAGGGGAGAGGAAAAAACCCACTCCAAATAACTCCAAACCTCGCCCAGAGGGTAGAAAATCCCCCGCGGGGTCCAACGGGGCCCTATACGCCCCTCAAGTCAGCCCCTCCCCAGCCCCAGGAACTCACACGGCAGGCCCCGGGGCCGAGCCATCCCCCCAAAACCCCGGCCTCGCAAGAAAAAACCGGGGCAGCTGCGAAAATACTAAGGAAGGGAACCCACTGGCAGACTCATACAACACGGCTGGAGGAACAGGCTCAAATGCCCCCGTCGCTACCCCGGAAGGGGAATTCCCCGAGATCGCCCGAGTCTCAAAACCAACGAAGCCCCGCCCCGACCCCGAACCCACAGACGGTAAGGATCCGGATGCAGATAGGAAGGGGGTACCAGACTAGACCACAACAGGGGAAAGACAAGGGGGCATGGAAGGAAGCGAAGCAACCAACACCCCCCAAGCCCCAACACCAACCAAAATGGGGCAGCCTTGGGGCTTACGGGGAGCAAAACAACTGAGAGCGTTGCCACCATCGAAACTCATCGTGCAACGCCCGTGCTGCCTGCACCCGCATAGCCAGCATAAGACTGGGTAACTGAGTCACAAACAAACAAACAATCAACAAAACTTGCAGGACTCCGGGCCGAAGATGTCACCGACCCCACAGGCAGCAGACGAAGGCAAAGACAGAGAAAGAGTCATCCGGAGACAAGGGGACAGAGCAACCCTCAAACTCGCTGGAAGCGAAGGGGGACTCCGGGGTCACATCCATCGGAACCGCGCACCCCCAGGGGTTTCCCAGGGTCCTGAGCATTTATTATAATAGGACTCGTGCTCAGGTAATCCCAGACAGGGTACTGCTAACCGGCACCCAAGTCTACCAAACAACCTTCTAAGAACTGAACCCCCGAGATGTGTACACTCACGGGGACCTAGCAGGGAAAACCTCCGGAAGAAGGAAGAATACTCAATACACAGTGGACACAGGGAGCAAGAACAAAGGCAGACCCCCCTCCACCAGGCAGACAAACAAAAAGAAAAAGAAAACCCAGCAAGAGGAGAGTGTATCCTGGCGGAACAGA